AACAGAGCTAAACAGAGAATTCTCGAAAGATAAAACATTTTTTATAAGCATTAACATCAATCTGTACCAACTACATAAAATGACAAGGAAGAAATAATTCTAACACACTCTAATCAATGACTCATTTTGTAAAAATGAACACATGTGACGATGTTTCTATGCTTGTGGAATTTACTGTTACTACAAGTGCAGCCTACACTGATACTCTCATGTCAAGAAACCCAAGAAAAGCTGTATTGTATAAGGACAGCTTTATTTCTGGGCAATTCTCTACTACTGTTTGAACCCAGTAAGTGTGATTTGACTTCTGGCAATTGATAGCTGCTCACCTACCACTCTTCCTCAGGTTCTGAAGCACAATAACCTTCCTCCACCTCAGTTTAGTGATAAGAACTCCGTGTAGTTTTCATGGTTTCAGAAGGTCTTGCCTTTTGCCTCCATCAATATTTACAGTAACAGCTCTTGTGTAGTAGGAGGAGTAATGCAAGCATGAGAGACAGCTTACACTGGTCAGACCTCAGATCCATAGTGATACTATCTTTTCATTCGGACCCAGGAACTCTTGTGTCATCACCAGAATCCTTGCTATGTTGGCCATACTCATTCACACTCAGGTCTTCCCTGGCCATTGGCTGAAGGTGATGCACTAGCTGATACTTCAGTACCATGGTGCCTGCACTGCTCCCCTGCTGCTCTGAAGTCTGCCTTCATAGAATCCCAAAAGAGTCATGTTCCATACCATCAAAACTTCTGTTTTTGCAAGGGAGTTTCCATCTCCAGGGAAAAGCTAGGCAATACTTAAGTACAGCAGCCACTCAAGTCCTGTCATACATGAGGGCATTAATTCCAGAAGATTCTGTTCCAGTGCCCTTTGCCAGGTGGATGTTCCTCATGTCTCCTCTTTTGGGAGAGTAAAATTTATGCACATTTCTGCTGATACTTATTCTCATTTTATTTATGTCTCTGCTCACACAGGGGAGGCTGCATAACATATCTTTGCTCACCACCCTAACCTCATTTGCCTTCATGAGCCTTCCTCAGCACCTTCAGATGGGTGATGCTCTGTTTGGTTGATATCCCTGGGAGGCCTGCCCCTTTCTGAAGAGAAAGGAAGAGGAGTGGATCTGGGGGAGAGGAGAGGTGGTGGGGAGGAACTGGGACGAAAAGAGGGAGGAGAAACTGCAGTCAGATGTGATATGTGAGATTAGAATAAATTAAAAGGAATAAGTGAGCAGTGCTCATGCTTATAACCCTTCTTCATTTAAAACTTTTATGCCCAACATAAAATAGCTCACAACATGGGCATCTCTTACCCCTCAGGACAGGCTACTGTAGAAAGATCCACAGATGGCTCAAACAACAATTAGAAAAACTAAAAGGGGGAGAATTTTCTACCCTACCAATGTTCTAAACAAGCTCTCATTTACAATAAAAAAAAATTTAAATCATGCAGAAAATAACTTCACTGCTATAGAATGGCACTGGTCACCAAAGGACAGGGGAACAAAACCTAGGTGTCATGACAAGATGTTGTGGTAAGAAAATGGTTTGGTCCATCCCCATGCTAATAGAGGGGTGAAATCTCCAGAACCAGTGAAGAGCCTAATTCCAGTTATGAAGAGCCCACAGAAAGCTGAAACTGTGGTTCTTAAAGCCAATCGGGTTATTGCAGAGGAGGAGGTTTCCTACAAATACTACAAGGAAAATGCCACCACCAACCTGAGGTCATATAAAAAGGCTGATGCAGTTGGGTATGGTGGTGTATTTCTTTTATCCCAGCACTGTAGGAGGCAGAGGCTGGTGGAACTCTATGAGTTTGAGGCCAGCCTTGTCTTCCAGGGCAGTCAAGGCTACACACAGAGAAAGACTGTCTCAAAAAAACGAGAAAAGAAAAAAAGACTGATCCAAATAGCAGAGGAGGGATCACAAGGCCTACCTGGGTTGGGAACTAGCACAGCAGTTATATTTCTGACTTGTCTGGTAATTATACCCATGAAGGTATGTCTGGTCAAGAAAAAAAACCTACTGGACCTACGTCCTCAGGTTTTTCATTCAGTGGTCTGGTCACATCTTCCCATACCTAATGACTCTTTCCCTTTGGAGGGAAATCCTCTAACCACCTGTGCTCCATTTAACTATTTAGGTTTGTATGCAGCCTTGCAATTTGGACAGGATTTGATATATCACAAGGATTACTACCAACACATACACATGACAGCTGCTCCTTATAATGAGAACAGAATATATTTTGGCTGGGTGTTTGCATCCACAATAATGATTGTGTGAATGTGGCCTAATCATGTCAGGACATCCTAGTAATGCAAAAGGCCTATGATCAAGTTATTGCTCTTGCTAATATTGTAAAAATGACTCTTGAGTACTTTCAAGACTTCACCCCCCTTTTTGTTAAAATATTCCTTTTGTTTTTATTGGGAACAGTGCATCCCGAACATCTAAGGATGGGACATGTGGGGAGTGTAGGAAGCCCTGAGGTTATATGTGATATTAATATGAACATAAGTCAAAGACCCCAGTGCCTGAGACTCATAGAAATGACAACGCCCTTCCCAGGTTACCATCAGGGAAATGTCAAAGCCTTCCCATGTTCAAGTACCAATGTTGGCAGGTGCAGAAAACATAAACAGCAGCTTGGTCATCATCCTCCCAGGTGTTTACTACCTGAGACTGCTCTCAAACAAAGATCTCCCATTGAGAGCTACTAACCTCCTCCTCATTCTGCTGTGCATAATAGATCCACCAAGTTTCCAGGTTGTATCATAGATAGCTATCAGAGCCAGCACAGTCCATCTGATCCTAGCTCTTCAGTTGTTGCTTCACTGTCTGTCTTTTCTTCTCTCCCTTGTTGCCCCAGGCATGTTTCCAGGTCCTAGCTGTGCAGGGTCTGGCATACATTCATGTGTTTATTTCTTGCAGCCACTATATGAAATAGACATTGTTTATATATATGTATATGTACTTATATATGTATACATATGTATATATGTGTATGTATGTATATATATGTGTATATACTTATACACACACACACACACACATATATATGGGAAGAAAGAGTGCACACTTGGAATAAAGAAGGAAAAGACACAGGCATGAATTAAATGCCTCTTCCATGACAATTAGAGAAACAATGATTTCTTGTGCCTGCAATATAAGACAAAGGGGAGCCCTAAGAAGATAAGGTTGAAGACTTCATGCCTTTCATCCTTTGTGAAAGGATCAAGTAACTAGGAGTCAAAAGAAGAGCCAGATTTTAAAACTATTGGAAGTGAGTTCAGGGAAATGACTCAGCAGATAAAAACACTGATTTGAAAGCCTAGCAACTTGAGTTTGATATCCAAAACTCACATAAAAGTAGGAGAGAACCAATTCCACGAAGATATCCCCTGACCTCCATAGCACACCATGGAACACACACACACACACACACACACACACACACACACACACACACACACA